TTCTAGATTTAAAATTAATTGTTGTGTTACATTTTCGTAGCCCTAGATGTATTTTAGTATATATTTTTTTAACATAGTAAAAATTGAAGAATTAACCGCATTTACATAAAATTTTTATCATTGATAAAAACAAATGAAAACAGAGAGCAAATTGGAGATAAAATCAAGAGCAGATCAAGTTTAAAAATAGATTAAAAGAAGGATGATGATCATAAATCACATGAACAACTTTTAAGGAAACAACTTTTGATCGAATGTTTTAGAACATCAGGACATCTTTCAATTTCCCCTTGCAGAGTTCATGTCCGTTCTCTAGGATGCTGTGGCTGGGAGATCGAAACAAGTGGTGACCCTCCCCTAAATTCTTCGTTTTTGGCTTGATGACCATCAGATTTGAGAAAAACAAAACAAGAAACAGAAAGAAAAGAAAACAAAGACCACCCAAAAAGGGCCACAAAAGAAGCTGATGGACCACCCAAAGAAATCATCGGAAAAAGGAGCATGGTTGGCTGGCTCCACCATGCTTGAGAAGTTGAAGGGCTTCCAAGCATTAAAAGCTCAAGAAGCTAGAAGGCTTCTGAGCACCAAAAGGAGACTGAAACTGTGGCAGGTTGTAGTTAGAAGATGGAGAGTTCTAGAGTAGAGAGAGAAGGTTTTTTTTTAGATGTATTTTAGTATATTAAAACATATAAAATATTAATTAAAATTAATAAAAAAAAATAAAAATTTTATAATTTCAAATAAAGTGTTCTGTAATATAAATTGTACCCGTAAAGTATTATCAACTCGAGCTAGAAATTAACAAAGTGATTTATTTCAATAAGTATGGCCATACACCTGGACCATCATACAAATTACATTTATTTTCCGATGCAAAGAGAAACGAGATAAAAGATTAAGATGATTTCTAGGATGTAATTACTCAAACCCACACGATTTTAAAGAAAAAATTTAGGAATAAGTATGAAGCTTTTCGGCCATGTAATCAGTGAATCTGTCTTTGTCGTATTTAAGCATCTTCTTCTGTATGTGATATCCTGGTAAAATTGAATAATGTACAGCTGATATGTAACAGCACCACAATGCACATATCTGTGTTCTTCTTTTTCTCTATCTCAGTTACCAAAACTGCCTCTTGCCTTTGCTATTGGGGAATGCTTTTCTTGTCTGCGAATAAAACCCTCCCCACTTATCAATCTAAAGTAGAGCACTCCAAACAGCTCCTTCTCCCTCACCGCACCTTTCATGAACAAATTTGATCTTCTCTACTGACTTGCATATTCCACTGCAGCTCCAATCAAAAGATGCAACACATACATTACCTGCTTGTGCCTTCCACTCACAATCTGCACAGATGGGAAAAAGACGGGCGGGGTTGGATAATGAAAAAAGTTCAAATTTCAAACAAGCACTCAAATTCCAACAGCAGTTTTTAACTACTTGAGATGCATCTGTTGCTTCACTTTACATAAATAATCTTCTCTGTGCAGTTATACAGAGGGAACATTACCTGGTGGAGTCCCACAGCACATATTTCGGTCGTCTATGTGCTCAACCTCAAGGCCAATAAACCATGAACCCAGTGAGACATCCTCATTAGCAAACTTGTGCAAGATGGGCCTGCAGTCACAACCAACACCACTCTGAATATTAAACATGCTTTGCAAGGCGGGGTGCTGTACATGCTGAAGATGAAAAACTGAAAAGATACCACATCAAAAGAATATTGAATGGCCACTCCATTTTCCATTATAGTGTTGGCCAAGGATACAGATTGGTCATTATTCCATTTGGATTTAGAAGTGTTTCAACCCTCAAAATTTTGGCTAATTTCAGCCAATTTTGCAATGGCATATTAAAGGTTTCAACTTCCAAATATCAGTTTATGATGACAAGCTACATGATACAAGTAGGAAAGAAAACCATACACAAAATTAAAATCAGGGGAAGGGTAAAATTGCTCAGCTCAGCAAAAGAACACCAAAAAAAAAAAACAAGACTCAAGGGTGACAGGCCACAGGGTAACAAAGTAGGGTGTTTCAATGTAAAAATGGAGAAAAAAATCCTTACTGGTTTATGGAGATATATGTTGCAAGATCCTTTGAAATTGCATATATCTGTCCAGTTGCATGCCGAAAATACTTGTTCCCCTCCTCTCCAAATTTCCAGTACTCTGGTTCATGGTACTTGACAGTCCTAAGGAATGGAAAGAAACTCATTTGAATTTAATTCATATAATCACCCTTCACAAATCACAAGGGAGAGAAGCAAATTAAAAAGTATGTCAATGACAGTAAAAAGGATCAAAAAGATTACTTTTGGGAAAGAACAGGTCCAGATTTCATACAACCTATGTAGACTCTAGGCTTTGAACGGTGATGAGCAAGAGTTGCGGCGAGCATTCCTAAAAGGAAAAATATTAAGTAATCCAACTTCTGAGAAAACCATCAAATTATTTTCTTTTCTTGGGTGAGAAAAAGTTTTCAAGATGAAAGGAGGAAGAGAAACTATTATTGTACATACCAAGATTAACATGGACATCATCATCCACCTTGACATAAAACTCAGCATCCCATTTTGCAACAGCTGTAGAAAAGAAAATTTTTGTTTTGGCAGACAATTCATGGTATCCTTCAACGTGCTCCTACAAGATTATGTGAATAAAATGATTACTGATAAAATATCATAATTTCCCATATCGATACACATAAGTTTAGCAAATGCTCCCTACCAGCCTAAGGAAATCCTTATGCTGTGCTTCTTCAGAATCAATAGCTCTATCCAAAATGCTGTTGGATGTTGCACTGCATATGATAATGTAGATTTAAATTGTGAAGCTCAAATTCAGATCACAGATCAGGAGGGCATCATCATATCTCATTTTTGTAGGTTAATTGGCTTATTGAAAATAAAAATATAAATGGGTATAAAGGTGTTCATGTTCATTTCTTGAATCCAAGTAACAGAAATGTTGCAATTCTAGAAATCATCCACCATATTAATTGAAGCAACATCACTGGGATAACCAATATGCAAATTTCAAAAATAAAGAAGATACAGACAAGCAGAACCTAAAAAGTTGTTTAAATGGAACATTAGGATATCTTGTTTCACACTGTGACAGACATTGGTCATGGTAATAAAAGCTAAAAGGCTCCACATTTGCAACAAGTCGTACACATTTACATAATTTTCATCACCAACCGAAGGATTTTCTTGCTTAGGGAATTATAATGACGGACAGGCTGTTCAAAAAGGAAATAAACGTGATTCACCTGTGGCCAATCATGAACCGGATGACAATTCCCTTCTCACGCTCCAATTGGAGTAGCTTCTCTCCTGATCAGAGATTAACAACAAGTCATACCATTAGATACATGATTAGGTAAACAAGTAATACCTAATCAACTTAAGATAACCAAAACCACCCACAAAACCTTGAGGCATCCAAGTCTCTCTGACCGAATCACGCCGCTTCCTACTACTAAAGGCAGTGTTAATTCCTATAACCATGAAAACCTTCTGTCTCGGTGGGCTCTCAACAGAACTGGTGCCATAGCTATCCGAACTTCCCAATTCCTGAGTACTCCTAGTTGCAGCCAGCTGCATCTGCAGCATTGCCACTGACTTGTCTAAAGTTCTGCTAGACCCAAAAATAAAAAATAAGTCAAATTGCTAAAAAAAAAAATGCAATTTAGCTAAACTACAAAGAACCAATCAGGCACTAACCTAATTGCTTCGTGGGTTTTTAGAACTTCCTGCATCACATCCTTATCTTCTGCATGTTGCTGTAACAGTATGTAGAAACATCAATGGGCATCGGATGTTTTACAACCAGAAAAAAAGGGGAAAGCAAACAATTAAATTTAAGATAAATCATTGTACGATTGAAAGTGAAAACTTACTTTCTTTGTAGCGCTGTCCTCAGAGACCATCTGCAACTCCTCCTGTTCGCGGCGGTGCTGAGGGAGGAGCTGAACGCTGGATTCAGGCGGGACCCACAACCTGCAAAGAGGATCCAACGGGGAAAGAGACATCAAGCTCAAACAAACTAAGAGATTGACTGAGGAAGAATTCATTTCCACGATCGAAAATAAATAAAGAAGGATTATGGGGAAATTAATTAAGCACCTGTTAGTAAAGATAATTCCGAATGTGAAGCAGGAGATGCAGATAAAAGGGATCCATCTGACGGAGATCTTGCCTGCGGAGCTCCGGTACTTCATGGCGGGAGCGGAGGAGGGGTGAGAGAGGCGAGGGAGAAAAGGATGGAACATATGGGCGCACGTAAGAAAGGTGTTTTCATAGCGTAATAAATATAGAGAACAAGGAAAAATAATTGAGGGCGATTTGAACAGTCTAAAGCCTAAAAGTCAAGTCCGAACGCGGACATTGTGTCGTGTAAGAGGAAATTTTACGTCCCCCGCCATTCACGGTAGTTGAAAGTTGACAGTTGACACGACCAATCAATCTCCGTTGAAGGCCGCGCCTGGCGGCTTCCTTCCTTAGCCAACATTGTTACCGTCGGATGAAACTTACTTTACTTTTAGTGCAAGTTTTTAGTATTTTTTAAGAGTAGATTGAAGCAATTTTGCTTGCAATGACTTGTTCAAGTTTTTTCCTCTGTTGTCTGATTTGCTGAAACGCATTTGGAAATTAATTGGTGAGAAGTTTTTCATAGTTTTTCTTCGGTAAGAATGTAAATTTATATTTGAAAACAGTTTTCCGAGACAGTTACGATTCCCAATTAAGTAGAGACAATGACCATTGATCACCTCTGAAGTCCAGCTTAAGCCTAACACTGTTAAAACCAAGTTCGAACTTGACAGGCTTATGGCCCTAAACCTTTGTTTGGATTGAGGGAGTCCAAGGGAAGGGGGAAGGAAGTGAAGGAGAGGTTTTCCTTTCTTATTTAGATGACAACATTAAAGGAGGGGGACGGAAAAGAGATAGATGGAAGAAAAGTAATTCTTTCCAAATAGCTTATTTTTAATCTCTTCAATTTGAGAGAATTCATAAGGATTTTATTTATTTATTTTTTAAATATGTAATTAAAATTTCTATTGTGACTTCAATTTTAATATATAAATTTATAAAATTTTAATTAATTTTATAATTATTTTTTTAATTCATTTAATTAAATAAAAATATATAATCTTCCCTTTCCTCTCCTCCCTCTTTTTTAATCTATCCAAACAAAATCAATACTAATCTTTTACTTCCCTTCCCTTCCCCTTTCTTACCTTCTTCTCCCTTTCCTTCACTTCCCTTTACTAATTTTTATCCAAACATATCCTAAAAAATAATGTTTCTCAAACCGTCTTTTAAATGATGATTATCACATTTAATTCAATGTAAAGTTAAAATTCTATAATACTAAGCAATTAACCATTTTATAAAAAAATGAGAGAAAAAAAAGGGCACATGAAAGCATTTGTTTACTTATTCCTCTGGATACTAGTTGGTATTTGTTTACTGATTTTCTGTTGTAAAAGAGTCTACAAAGTAGTAGTAAGTGCAAATTACTCAAATACATCTCCACCCCAATCCCAAAGCTTTTCCAGTATATGAATGGAAAGTATTTACACAAGTAGTAGCAAGTGTAACACAATCCTTCCTTGTCTTGCTCCATAATTACAATTCCTTCCATTTACTTACATCAAACAAATGAACAATTTTATGCCATTTTGCTCTTGGGGATTCCTTTTCTATCATTCTGAGCTTGAAAGGCTTGAGCAGTTGAAACTTCCTGCCAATATGAGATGTGTTTTCTGCATTGAACATGAATTAAGCATTAGAAATTAAAAATTTTATCATATACTACAATGGTACATTCCTGATCTCCAATGGTACAGGAACTTGCTTCATCGTATTCATGCCTTACCTCACATATCACTTTTTCACAAACATAGGAATCCAAAACAGGCCAGTACAATTAGGAGACAGGATACATAAGATATAAAACCAACATAAAAACTGGCCAGAGAAAAACACACCACACAACTAGAACAGTGACTGTAGAATTAACCCTCAACAGTCTACCATGTCATGGTCAATTCAGTAACACATTTTCAACCACCAAGAAAAAAAGGAAGAATCAAATTTCAACTCTTTTATCAACAAGTCAAAGAGTTTTCAAAGAATGGCACCTTCCAAACATGTTAAAAGGAATGAAATTTCAACCGTAGGTGAACTCGAGTATCTTCAAAATTATACCTTTCTTGATTTAGAATTCTACATGGGCGAAAAAGAGAAATGAAACGTTGAAGGTAAAGCTGCCCACCTTTCTTTTCAAAAGCTTGAAGTCATTTTCTAAACATTAAAGACACCAATTTCGCCTGAATTCCTCAATGATCATTTTCATACATATTAATTAACACTTGAATAAATCAAAGACGTTCTAAAGTCTCTAATACGGTTAAAAAAAAAAAACCAAACAAACAAACAATCAACAACAACAACAACACCGTTATGTAGTCCAAACTGCAAAACAGTAAGAGTTAAATGAGCGGGGCACCCTAATATTGGGAGCCTTCTACAATCCCCATCCAAGCATCCAGATTTGCAGTCCAGTGTAGTTTAGAATACAAAATAGGGGTCTCATACAGAAAAACTGATAACAATTTATTTTTAAATGATATATAAACTTGTATGACAAAGTTATACATGAAAAATTATATTTGAATAATTTTTTTAAAATTATTTGAGAAAGAAATCACAAAATTAATAATATTATAATTATAATATTATATAATATTATAAATTTATAATATAATGATTCATTTATTATTATATTATATATATTTTATACTAATCTTTTAATATTCAGAAATCATATTAAATTCTATCTAATTTAAAATCATATTATATTAAACCTCATAAATAACAAAGTTCTCCTAATGTTTTTTTTTTTTTTTTACAATACTCAAATTTGATATCTTATTTAAGGAGAACCAAAATTGTTTTACTTTGAATCAATAGATCATTAGTTATGTTATATTTTATTTAATGACATAAAAATTATAAGTTATGAACATTATAATTAGAGTAATATTGATTATAATACGCATAAACTAACTCAAAACCATGTTAATTGTCCAAAACTTAAAAAAATAAAAAAAAAAGAAGAAGAGATATTTTAGAAGGCAAACATTAATATATGGAATAAATCCGATAATATTCCCAATTGACATCAAATCTTAATCCGAAGAACATATACTTTAATGGGGAAATGATTTTAGAATAATTTTTTAAATTATTTTTTATATAATTTAAAATGTTATTTAAATTATTAATTTTTTAATTTTTATAAAATTTATAATATTAAATATATCAATTTATTTAATAATATATAAAACTTACATAAAAAATTAATATAAAAAAATTATACCTACACCGTCGCTCATGCTTATCGTGTAATTGAACTCCATCAAATGGGTCCAATGGACCGCGTGCGGAGATAAAATGTTCATCATATCTATGATTCAATCTCCAATTGTTAACTATTAATAAAATTAATTTATTAAATAACGCATTTGTCAAAAGAAAAAAAAAAAAAAGGCTTAGCGTGTAGTTGGTTCAATGACTGCGCACAAGACCACGCGCATGTCTCAGTTGATTTTCTCTCCCTTCAAGTCCGAAACTACGAACCTAACTGCAATTGTGTCTACGTTCAAATCCCTCCTCCTCCTCTAATTCGGTTGGGCCACGTGTATCCTACCCAAACGTCATCATCTACCCGTCGCTGTATTTAGCCGTCCTTCTTCTTCTTCTCATCCTCCTTCCGGCTCAAGCAAAAAGCAATTAAAGAGCGATACATGGAAAGCTCCTCCGCCGCGCCAACTGCACGCCGACCAAATTTCCGTTATCTTCGGTGTTCCTTCTTCCAGAACTGTTGCCGCTGTTTCTGTTGCTGCTACACTTATCCTTAGTCCAGCAATCCCCAAATTCTGTTTCCTCAAGGGTAACTAAATCTTAGGGTGTTATGGATTTATCTAATGCTCAGTCGGCGGCTCTTTCCTTAGGGTTTGGGAATTCGCATGCATCATCGTCGCCTTCTAAGATTCCGGTTTCGGGCGATTCCATTTCTGTGCATATTGCTTCATCCAATCCGATCCCTTCTGGTTCCCTCCGGTTTCTCAAACAATGTCAGGTTGTTAGCGGAGAGGAGGAAGATCAGGACGACGAAGAAGGTGAGCGATTCAGTCTTTTAGGGCATCCAATGTGTCTCAAAAGGCAGAGAGATCCCCAGTGTCTTTCAATTTCAAACCCTTGTAAACGTCTGGCGTCTGACCCTAGTCTGGAGCAGAGGCGGGCTGCCGTTCGTTCCTGGGGGAACCAGCCGATGGAAGTTGTGGACCCGGAGGTGCATGAGATCATGAACAAAGAGAAGAAGAGACAATTCAGAGGAATTGAGCTTATTGCCTCTGAAAATTTTGTGTGCCGTGCAGTAATGGAAGCTCTGGGTAGTCACTTAACCAACAAATATTCCGAGGGAATGCCTGGAGCAAGATACTACACAGGCAATGAGTATATTGATCAGATTGAAACTCTCTGTTGTGAGCGTGCGTTGGCAGCTTTTGGTCTCGATTCACAACAGTGGGGAGTGAATGTGCAGCCTTACTCCTGTACTTCTGCAAATTTTGCTGTTTATACAGGTCTTTTACAGCCTGGTGATCGGATAATGGGGTTGGATTCACCATCTGGGGGGCATATGAGTCATGGGTATTATCAGCCAGGGGGGAAGAAGATATCTGCTGCTTCGATATTCTTTGAGAGTTTTCCTTATAAGGTCAATCCGCAAACAGGTTATATTGATTATGATAGGCTGGAGGACAAGGCACTTGATTATCGCCCCAAGATATTGATTTGCGGTGGGAGTTCATATCCACGAGAGTGGGACTATGCTAGGTTCAGACAGATTGCAGATAGGTGTGGAGCCGTGTTGATGTGTGATATGGCTCAAATTAGTGGCCTTATCGCAGCAAAGGTATGGACTTGTCCTGTTTATTTTAAGTTGTTTTGGCACTGCACAATTCTTATGCTGTAAGCTTGGGTTTTCATTCACTTTATGGCAATGGATTTTGTTTCCTGCAATTCATGTGCCAAAGATAGGGAGTGTCGGTTTTCTGATCCATTGACAGTAATACAAGCATATGAATTCACCTTTTCAAACAGAAAGCATGAATGCAAGTCATGCAATCATGTGAATTTGAATGTCAAAATAGGGTTTTTAATTTATATTCCGTTCAAGTTGAGCCTAGATCA